CTGCTGCACTGACCAGGTAGGGCACTGCGATACTGGGGTTATACTGCTGCATTGACCAAGTAGGGCAATGGTTATACTGGGTTTATACTTGTGCACAAACCAGGTAAAGCACTGGTTATACTGGATTAATTTGAGATTATTCTGGATATGCATTGGTTAAACTGTCATTGTCCACGGATCAGACATTGTACTGGTTGTACTGGAGTTTACTGAGATCATTCTGATTGTAAATGATTGATACTGCTGAACAGAACAGATACAGAACAGATAAGATAGTGGCCATATAATGGCTGATTTTTGCAGTGCACCATTAATGCTACTTGGTGACCATGAATTATATTAGTGCACTGACCAGGTAACAGAACTGGGGCACTAGGATTACACTGGAGTTGAAGAAACACCTGTCATTACCAACATCACATTGGCTGCCCTGGAGTCATATTGATACCACACTGCAGAAGGGTATACAGAGGGCAGACTGTAAATACCCTTCTGCACTTTGGAAGAGGACAGCAGGTCCAGACAAGATGGAGGTCTGACATTCCTCAGAACAGCTTGGGGAATGAGCTGCTGCCCTCAGTCACCTGAACACTTCTGAGAAGGTGATTGGTCAGGTGACCCTTCAAGAGCTGGCTTGGTCTGTGATCTGCTGTCTGGAAGCAGAGTTGAAGCAGACTCTCAGATCCAATGTGCATTAAGCACCAGAGGAAGAATGAAAGAGAGAGAGAAAGAGAAAAGAGCATCTGGTTTTCACAACCAATGAGCTGAGCAGCAGGGGGCGCCAATCTAAGAGCAGACACTTGAGACTGGGGAAGAGACTCAGGCATCTAGGGAGGGCTGTGCAAAAGTCAATTTTCCTCATTCTGCTGGTAAAATGAATCTTTACCTTACGGGTGTTTTATGTGTTTGTCTCACCTTGACCTGTCTCTCGACTTTCCAGTTACTGATAGCTTGATTGCGGGTGTGCCATGCACTGCTCAAGTATCTGCTCTACTGGTCTCGAGAATGAGGATGCATTAGGGATATATTTCTCATGCGTTGTTAAACTGGAAATATATGCCACTCACACCACGCCTCCAGTGTTCAGTCACAGGAGGAGCATTGCCGGTATCTGCACCCTGTCTGCAGGGCACATGAGTGCACTTGAGGCTGGAGGTCACTCATACCTCCCCCCCTCCTTCTCCTCTCGTTGCGCAGGTGATCGTCCAGCGCTGCTTGGCCGCCCGGAGCCTGACCCACGTCAAAGCGGGCTGTATCATGTGCGGGTACCTCAAGCTGCTGCCCATGTTCCTCATGGTGTTCCCTGGCATGATCAGCCGGGTGCTGTACCCCGGTGAGTGACGGGACCCCCCCCAGGATCCGCCCCCAAAACCGGTCCCAGTATCTGCAGGTCACACCAGCTCTCCTCATGCCTGAAGGCACCCCACCTAACATCCTTGAGCTCATGCCAAAGCACCTCCAATAGCCCAGGGCACCCCAAAGTTCCTGATCAGCACTATATCCAAGTGAGTGAGGGACCTCCAGTACCCCCATGCATGATGCCTCCAAACCCACGATAAGCCTTCCACTGTGCTTCAGAAAGAGAGACACTATATTCCAACTGACACCCCACTCTCCTGACCCCAGTGCAGTGTTAATTCATTGGATGGACATGCACGACATGTTTGTATTGACCACAGCCTCTCTCTTGCTGGATTTCTTGTCTGCCTTCTAAAGAGACATTGTCATTTGATAGTAAAATACTGTGTCTACATAAACCCCTCCTCCTACCTGTGGTCCATTATTATCCATATTTAGTGGAGAAACAGGTCAACTCCGCTGGTCAGATGGTCTACATAAACTTCTATTATTGCCCTTTGTAATCTGTGTTTAGTAGAGAAATAGGTCAACTCGACAGTTCAAATACTGTCCATACAAAACCATTCTCCTAGCTGGGTTGTCCCATTCTAATCACTGTTTAGTAGAGAAAAAGGTTGACTCTACAAGACTGTCTCCCTCTCTCTCCACAGATGAGGTGGCCTGTGTGGTGCCGGAGGTGTGTAAGCAGGTGTGTGGGACGGAGGTGGGCTGCTCCAACATCGCCTATCCCAAGCTCGTGGTGTCAGTCATGCCCAACGGTGAGACTACCTGTCGGGTCTGAATCTATTCCAGTCTGTGTACTGATCGTTGCTTCTGAGTTCACAACTGATGGTGTTCCTCCTCTTCTGCGCCACTGAATCTCTTGAAATATCTCTCTTTCTGTGTTAATGCATAGGTGTTTTAACCTCTAGACCTCTATATAATAATAATAATAA